TGATGATATTGATTCAACAATTTGTCTTACACCTTGACGTAATGTTATTTCTTTAGAAAGAATTTTTGGTAATAATTCATTTGATAATATTGGAGAAAAATGTTTTAATATACCAACAAAAGTTTCACATGAAGTTATTGTACCGTCAAAATCACAAAAAACAATAGCAGAAGATTTTTTTGTTGGCATTTTTTCTCATAATAAATAACTTACGCCACTTTGAGACAGGCCGAATTGGATCATTCATTCATTCATTCAGTTAGAGAATAATGCTGATTCTATTGGTTAATGTGTTTGCCAATGGATATCATAATATTTGTGAAGAGGACCACAAAAAAATATATTTTAAAGATGGCCGTCTAAGTAAGAAATTTATACATATAAAAACTAAAAATTAGTACATGGTCAGAACAAAGAAAGTAAAGAGAAAATAGCGAAATAATATCAACAAATGCACTTGTATATGCGTCATCTGCAGTTTCAGCAGGGACCCGAGATCATTTGAACGGCAGTGGACATAAAAATTATTCTCTTTCGAACTACACAGAAGATTTTGATTCAAAAAAAAAAGTCCCGCACATATAGATGGCGCTATTTACAGCCATCGTTCAGGTATATCCTTCGAATCGTTGTGTCTTGTCAAAACAAATAAGCTATTGTTGCGTCCGTGCCGTCACCCACCAACAGTAACCTCGGAAATGAAATTTGAGCACCAAAAGCTAATTATACTAAAATTTCCATCTCTCTTTATTACTTCAAACGATAAGAATAAGAACCTTTTCAAAAAAATGTGCTCATATGTAGTTCCCTTTCAAGTACATTTCTTACTAATGATTCGATCAACCATGAGACTCCGACTGTGTAGTATAGAGATATTAATGATTTATTTTCTAATGCTATTCACGTGTATTTTATGTAGAAAAAAACTACAAATAACAACGATATAAGCATGAACGAATGAGAAGAAATAAAGGAACAAGACGCAATTTGCAAATGAAAATTAATGAGTGAAGAAAATTCTTTTATAGATAAAGTTTTTTTAGGAAACATATTTTCTTTTATACATTAGAAGAAAATAGCCGATAACTTCATCGACTGATGTATTGTCTAATTCGACATCATATTTCGAACACTACCTTATTATTAAAAAAAATAGAAATAACA